AAAAAAAAAAAAACCCTGAGAAATTAAAAAAAAAAAAAAAAAGATGTAGTGTCTGTCTGTGATCAATGCCTTTGAAGATGAACAGGTTGTCCAGCAGCTTGGAGGAAATACATGCAGTGTTCATACTAGAATACTATACTATAGAATTTATACTAGAACTCTGTTCTTAGACCCTCATAGGAAACAGCAGCCAGGTTTTAATGGGTACACTCTTCAGAAAGTTATTCAAATTAGTACTGAGCATATGAACAGGGCTTAGCATTACCTGCCATACAGAGCAAGCTCAGAAGCAAGCATGTGTGAAAAGAAAGTGTCATAGCAAGCAGATCAACTAAAATCAGTGAGTTCCAGAACACCAGTGTTGGCAAGTAATTTTCATACTGTGGTGGTGGGAATGGAAAACTGTTGGCCTTGTAAAGTTACCTCTTCCACTGTACTTACTCTAGGAAACAGTAGGACCTGTCCACAAAGGCAGACATGAATGCCAGTAGCAGCTTTAATTCTAATAACCTCAGACAGGAAGCATGCATTTTTCAGGAGTGTATAGGCAAGTCCTGGTGTATTCATGGCTTCTGAGTAGTGCAAAAATGTAACTGTGCATGCAGACTCAGATGAGGCTCAAGACCATGAAGACCAGATACAGAAGTGTGTACACTCAGTGTGTCTGTCTAGGAAATGTGGGGATAAGAGACACAATTATTGTTGAAATAAAAAATTCTGGTTGCCAGGCTAGGGGTCAACTGTTGCCTTTGAGTCACAGAGACCTCCCCAGGGTGGTGGCAGTATTCTGTGTCATGATGGGTATTCATGTCTTGGGTGGATTCACATACTCACGCAGGATTAGCAAGCTGTGTACCTCATGTGTTGTAGACTTCACTTTGTTAGTTTCTGCCTCTGGCAGATATCGGTAAGTATCGGTAAGTAGCCTTGTGCTCTCAGCGTAAGAGCTGCTTGTTAGAGACTTTCATTGTCAGAACTCCATGCTGAGTCCCTGAGTCCCACGAGTGTTTAGCAGCCCTCTCTGAAGCAGATGATAATGTTTGTGGCTGGCCTTGTGTGAGGAGAAACCTCAGTACAGATGGCAAGACAAGAATGTGATTTCCCTAAGTTCAGAAAATGACTTTTAAAGAAGATGACTGGGTTTTCTGCTATTTATGAGATTATTGGCAGCGTGTTCAGGATGTTTGAGGATATACTCTGCCTGGGTCAGTATAGTGGGTCACTAGGGCTGAGGCAGGCACTGCCTCCCTGTCCCAGCATTCATGCCACTTCTGTTTTGACTCTTCTAGCTGAAGTTTGCCCTCAAGACCTACTTTCCTTACGGTGCTCCATCTCTTACTGCAGCGCTGTCCCAGCACCCTGAAGGTGAGCTGAGGTCCCTTGGCCTGTGGGTGGGCATGGAGAACGATGGCCTCTTCCTCCTAGAAAAACAGCGTGCTTATCCATTCAAGCTCTTGGGGTTCCATTTGTGTGGAGTCTTACCTGAGAACCTGCTTTGCTTCCCAGGTGTGAGAAAGAAGAGATGGCCCAACTACTTGGAGAGTCAGTCAGCCTGTGATAACAGCTTCACTGAGGCTGCCAGGGACAGGCTGAGTCAGAGCACGACAGTGCCCTGTTTGTTCTCCTCCCTTGCTCTATGCAGCCTTGTTACAGAAGAAAGGATAAAGTGAAGGATGAGGCCATGGAAGTTTAGGGCAAAATTTTTTTTTTCTTTTAAGCCAAGAAGATTTTGAAAAGATTCAGTAAAATTCTATTTTTAGACCCCAACTTCTTCTGATTCATCTGCCAGTCTGCTTTCCTAGGCCACGTCTGTAATCTAATGGTGTTGATCTGTGGCTGTGTCTATGAGCTCATGTTTAGGGAATGTCTCAGCTATGAGCTTAAAGGAGCCTTTTCCCTCTGACGCCGACAGTCTGTAGACAAGGCCCGTGACAGGAAGAGGAGGGATGGAGGAGGGCTCATGTTTCCCTGCTGTGGCTGCTGTGGCTTCTTTCTGGCTTGAGTCAGATCTGTTTGAGGTAATTAGACTAGCCAGAGTTCCAAAGCATTTTGCAAAGTCTAAATGCCTTTTCCTTTTTCTATAAGATGGAGGTTCTTGCCTAAGATGGGTTACACCACAAAGCCCTCTCAGACAGAGCTGAGGTCTGGTGAGCACAGGGGCCTCAGAGGGAAGTGGCTTTTAAACCTTCTCCTCTACCATACCTAAGGAGCAGTCATGCCCTCTTTTTATTTTTTACTTTTCATCCATTGGGGATAGATTAGGAAAACTTTATTAGCAGAATAGAGAAGTAAGGACTACAACTACCTGGGCCCATTGTGGAAGACTGGGGGCAGACCTGCTAGAAAGCAGTCTGGGCATCTCAAAGGACACTGGTGCACAATTCAGTCATGGCCACAGCGTGAACTTGGGCTGTCTGCCTTTCCATCCTGCAAAGTCAACAAGTGACCTTCAGCAAAAACCTAGAATCTCTGTGTTGATCTGGACAACAGTTTTTATACCTGTTGCTTTGAGGGAAAGTTGGTTATTTTAGGAATGTAAGCATCTGCTCATCTGAACTGTACTTCATGTGGTACAGTCCTGAGGGCGTAAAACAAAACCCTCACTGCCAAGTGGTGACCTTTAGGGGCCATAGGAGAAGAAAATTAGTGTCTAAGTGACTAGTAAGGGGGGCATGCTATTTTCCTTCAGAAGTTAAGTCACAGGCCTGAGAGAGGAGCCACTGTGTCCCCCAGGTCTACATTTTGGAAGAACAGTGGAGGCCCTTCCACCTCTGGTGTTGTCGTGTGATTGATGATAACTATGGATACATGCAGGTCAGATGCTTAAGGGCAGGTCAGACACTCTAACAACTGCTTTCATTTGCACTGTTCTGTGTGCTTTCCCCCTGGCTTGTACTGTAAAACTGAAACACCCCGGCCTGATCACACTCCAGAAAAATAGTTGAGCTGTCCATTGCTTGTCCCTGCTGATATATTCAGTACGGTCCCTTTGTGTTTTGATGTCACAAGTTTGAGATGAAACTAGAACATGGTAAAAAGAAAAGCACAGGGCATGTGTAAGAAGGCAGTCCAAGTCCTCAGGAACTGGAAGGAGTTTTTCACTAACCTTTATACAACCCCGTGAAAGGTATGTGAAACCAGGCATGGTGGTGCAGGGCTGTAATGCTGTCTCCTGGAAGGCAGAGGCAGATAAATAGTAAGTTGAAAGCCAGTCTAGGCTACAGAGTGAGTTAAGGGCAGCCTGGGCTATAATTGTAACACCCTGCATGAAACAAACAAGACAACAAAAGAAACTTTGAAGTTTGACTCAGAGACAGATCCTGGCTGAGAGAAGGATGACGTGGGTTCTGTGAATGGCGGGGGTGGGTGCATTTCTTTCTGCACAATGCTTCCAGTCTGAGCTGCAGGCGTCTCCCCATGGGTTTGGCTTTCCTTCAGGCCCCTCTCTGACTTTTCTCCACCCACAGCTATCCCACAGGGACATCGGCTCCAGCCTCTGCTGCACATTTCCCAACTCCTCAGAGAAGCAATTGAAGACAGTACTCATGGGTGAGCAAGCCCTGACCATGTCTGGCCCTTTCACAGGGGGCCTCCCTGATCTCCCTTTGAGCAGGTTGGTAGCTGAAGACTTTGCTGGACCCTCAGACAAACAAGTACACATACTCACTGTCACTAGGTGAGAAATGGAGGGTGTGTGGGGCTGCAGGATGGCTTTGGGTCACAGGGGTAGCCAGCATTGCAAATGTGTCTGCAGAGTCAGGTCCTGCACTTACAGGACTGCACTTACAGTTTGAAATGTGCAAAGGAGAGAGATTGCAGAGAGGAACAATGCCCGAATGTTGAATCTCTGGCCCCCTAGGAAGGAGACTGACTGTTCCTGGTCACTTGGAGGAAATGTTAACTGTTTGTATGCCATCTACTCTTCAGTTTTTTACATCCCATCCCTCCCCGCCTTAATCTCTCTCTTCAGGGGCTGGAGAGATGACTCAATGATTCAGAACACTTGCTGTTCTTAGGGAGGACTCAGGGTTGGTTCCTTGCTTCCACATTAGGTGGCTCACAACCCCCTGTAACTCCACTACCAGAGGTTCTGATTCCCCTTTCTGTGGCCACTTACATGCCCAAGCATATACAACAGGCACACACACAAATCTAAAAATAAATAAGTAAATAACTATGTCTCCAAAGCTAGTAGACTTATATTAGAATCAGTTAGTGTGCATGCAGCATAGAGAGGCCCTCCTCTAGGTGCTGTTCCCCAAAAGCATTCCTGTGCAGCCTTGCCACCATCTTTATAATATGTCAAGCTCCTCTGAGCTTGCCCTTGTTCAGAGGATAAATGGCAGCACATTGTTTGTTGGCCCAAGAGCCTCTTGTCTTTCTTTCCCCCAAGACGCTCTTGTCTGCTGACACTGCCCAGCATGTCCAGCATGTCGGTGCTGCTGTGCCCATGTGTGTCTGATGGGCTTTGACCATCAAACACTCCTCCCAGCTGAATTCCTAAAACAGCTCAGACATAAAGCTGGTGTTTAGGTGAGGCCACCGAATGTCAGTGCCTGTGCTGACTATGGGCCTTGGGGTCTGCCTTCAGGAAAGGGTTTGAAGCAGATGTAAGACTCTTTCCCACCCCCCACCCGGAAGAGGAGAGGGAAAGGCCAGGCCTGGCAGGTGCTGTGAGCTGTAGGTTGGCTGCTTGGGATACTTGCTGATAAGGTCTGTGAGAAAGACTGGGGAGTCCCTGCCCTTCAGCTCTGTGCAGTGATGAGTTGCTTTCTTCTGATAGGGATTAAGGCTGAGGTAGCACCCGCCTTCCTTTTCCTTTATTGTCCTTCAAACTTGATCTAAAAACATCAAAGGGGAGGTATTAGATAGCAGTGACTAGAAGGCAAGAACCAGCATACAACTGGGGACTCCCACAGGCCCAGTGTAGGCAGACACTGCAAAGGCCATGATGCTCCTGTCTAGATGAAGGTTCCTATGAGGGGCCGTAGCCTATTCTGCCCTTTGTATCCTGGGGCAATGTTGTCTTGCTCAGGGCTACACTGATGGAACAGATTCCACCCTCTAATACACATTACCACTGCCAGTTTCTAGGAGGATGACAGGATAACTTGGAAAAAACCTTTGACTTCCTTGCCTGAATGTCCTGATGATGATGATGATGATGGGGGAGGGGGGCAGACAGACCAGAAGTGCTTGTCAGAAAGGTATATTTATATTTCTGCTGTGTCCCAGAGGCCAGCAGCATTCTCTGGCCTTACCTAACCTCTTTCTCCTTAACCTGGAACCACCTGGGTGGCAAGTTGCAGGGTCTCACTATGCCTCACAAGCCCACCACCCCAAAAATCTCTATCTAGAATTCTGTAAGGTCCCTATAAGTCCTCAGCATGAGAGCTTGGGAGGGTCTTTCGGTTGTCCTGTGATGGGCTTAGGGTGAGAGACAGGTATCCTGAATCAAATTTGTTGATCTGAGAGTCTTTATTTAGTGGGAAAGTACAATTTAAACTACCAGTTTGTAAACATTGAAGTTGTTTTGAAGGAAGAAGGGTCCAGGTCGCCAGCTGCCATCTGTGTGTGTCCTCTGTTCCAGGTCCCAGCGAGGTCCCTTTGAGAGCTGGTTTTTGTTTGTTCACTTTGGAGGATGGGTTGATCTGGCCATGGAACAGTTGCTGAAGAAGGAAGCTGAGCCCCCGGCAGGCCTGCTGTGGCTCGTAGTCTTCTATTACAGTCCACAGGATGGGAGTCAGCAGAGAGAACGGAGCATGGTGGGTGTAGGCCCTACTGTGTGCTGAAGGCCAGCCTCAGGGAGTGGAGAGCACCTACAGAAGGGGGTCTTGACTGGGCTTACGCTTACTTGACCCCACAGGCACCCAGGCTCAGAGCACTTGGTCAAGTGTGCTCAGAATGTGTGCACAGCCACTTGGGCTAAGCTTGCCTGTGACTTTCTTCTTTCTCCTCAGAGACCTAAGACAAGAGGCTGCCCCAGCCATCAGGCTGATCATGTTATGGGCCTTCTGTCTTCAGGGTTCTTTGATCCATTCAGCCTAGTGGCCTCAGCCGTCCTCACTTACACCCCCTGTGTAAGTGAGGGCTCTGTGCTCTAGGAGATGCCCTGCAGGGGTGACAGCTGCTCTGAGGAGTACTGTCCCAATGCAGAGACTGGCTCCTGAGCCAGTGTCTTCTCTCACCCACCAGCAGCCTGGCTAGGCTGCTTCCATCTCACTACTTTCCTGCACCAGCCCAGCTCATTCATATTGAGGGTAATCACATGACTTGACCACTTGGATCAGCTAAATAACAGGCTGGCTACACACAGGACTGGGTAGCTGTATATGGCAAAGATAATTTTGGTTATGTAGAATGTAGTTATTTCAGGAAACCATGCTTTGATTAAAGCTTTGCAACAGTCTTGGGCTGAAGAAATGGCTCAGTGGTTAAGAGTACTGACTATTCTTTCAGAGGACCCGGGTTCAATTCTCAGCATCCACATGACAGCTCATAACTGTAAGTGTAGTTCCAGAGGATCTGACATCCTTGCATAGTCATACATGCAGGCAAAACACCAATGCACATGAAATTAAAGCAAGAAGGAGGAGGAGGAGGAGAAGAAACCAACCCCAGTTTCTAGTGGTTTTTGCTGACTTTAGTAATTAAAAGGAACAGGTTTCAGCAAGTGTAGACAGTGCTCCTGTTTGTTTCAAAATCAGCGGCTAATGTAGTCTTGTGTTTCATTTGTCTAAAGCAGCAGTTCTCAACCTGGGGGTCACCTGATTTGCACAGGGATCATCTGAGACCATCAGAAAACACAGATACTTACATTACTATTCATAATAGTAACAAAATTACAGTTATGAAGTAGCAATGAATTTTATAGTCAGTGGTCACCATAACATGGGGAACTGTATTAAAGGGTCGCAGCATTAGGAAGGTTGAGAACCATTGGCTTAAAGGCTTCCATAGCACAGTGACTATGAGCCTTGGTATTTAAAAAAGTTGATGTTTAAGGATAATATTGGATTAGAATGAAACATTTTAAAGAAGCTACTATCTACATACGCATTTGAAGATTTCTGCTTAATTCAAAAGAAAACTTTCTTCCCTTTAAAGTATCATATCTGGGCTGGTGAGATGGCTCAGCAGATAATGGCAGACTTTCTATTAAGTCTGAAGACCAAAGTTTGACCCCCAGCATCTACAAAGTAGATGGCCCAAAGTTATCCTCTGACTTCCCACTTGTGTGTCATACATGCATCCATACACAAGATAAATTAATGTGATGCATATTTTTAAATTTTATTTCATTTAACTGATTCAGGACAATCCTAGTTCATTCATTTTATATTTAGTAGGAACAACTGAGGTGCATGAAGCACTTGTCATTTTTAAAGCCCCTTCATTTTGTTTTGTGTCAGGTTCTTCATAAACTGAATTGGTAGGTGTATGTTAATTCATATGGATCATAGATATTAAAAGACACTGACTTTTGAAATACAGAGTAGTGTTATAGGAGCCAGCAAGATGACTTAGTGAGTAGACACACCAGCCATCAAGCCTGGCAGCTGGAGTTTGCTTCTGAGGGCACATCACAGAAGGCAAGAACTAACTCCCAAAGTTGCCTCTGATCACATGGCCACACACATGAGTACATACGCACACACAAATTTTGTTCTTTTAAAAATGGATTTAGTTTCTAGACAGTTCCTCACTGGCTGTTTCCTACTAGTGCTCTTGGATTTAGTCTCAGCCATACTTGGGATGATTAGACAATGGAATAAAAGCAGTTGGGTGTGACTCAGAGGCAGCCACTGCCTGGTCCTAGAGCCAGAGCTTTCCATTGCTGATGCCTTGGTGCCTGGCCAGAGGTGCTTCCGAAGGACTACGGCAGACATTTTGCGGAGCTGGGGTTGTGAGGAACTTGAATACAGGTTGAACTGTATCACGGTGCATGGACAAAGTTAGACACTGGACTTTGCTGACATTTGTGCCTTTGCCTTAAAGGCAGTAAGTCATGGCTGGTCGCTTCACTGCACTTTTCTTTGCTGGCTATCCTTCGGGTACAGAAATGTGAGGTAAAAAGCTTACCTGTGCTCCCTGGGTCACACCTCTGCCAGCTGTGTTCATCTGCTTTGGCTAACTGAATTGGATCGTGATTTTTTTTTTTTTTTTGAGACTGTATTTTATATACTCTGGCTTGGCCAGGGCCCTAAACCCTTCAAACACTATCCTCTCACTTGTATGAATCTTCCCGGAGAGGCAGAGATTCACACAGTGCTGCTTGTACATGGTGGCCATCCAAGCACAGTTTATAGCTGTAGGAGCTGAAATGGCCTGAGCTTACAGAAGCTCAGTGTACCGTCAGTGGTGCCGTATCCTAGCTGCCAGGAAGAATCCCATTGGCAGTGCGTAGGCATGTAGACTGCTCATGGCACACTCTGCAAGTGTGGGAGAGGAGCAGTAAACATTACTCCCAGTGCGTGAAGCACACGGTTGCTTGGGGCTCCTTCAGATTGCTGGAGTGGTAGGTTGTTTGACCATTGTTTATTCTTCATGTTTTCCATAGTAAGCAAAAGTAAATTTTTATAATGTAGAATGAAAATACTTTAAGGAAAAAACGCTTATCTCTTACTTCAGAGAACATGCATCTCCCTTAAAGAAGCTTCTAGACACAGGAGGCACACGAGAGGAAGTCAGGACAAAACAGGATTGAGTACGGGGTATACAGGTCAATGAGAGGAGAGATTTGAGGCTTTCCAGATTCCTCGGAGTTTGTAGACCTCTTCAGACGTCATCAGCTGAGGTGGTACATAGCCTGGGAACACTGCTTCCCTCAGAGGAAGAGTGCCATGTTTCCTTTTTCATGGTCACCCTTGTGGCCAGGTGAGTCACAAGGCACTCCTAGCATACTGCTATCGTGACCGGTGGCACTGGACGGGACCTGAAATTGCAGGGGAGAAGTACCTCCCAGAGACCCACAAAATCAGCTGTGGGGATCCTCAGAACAGACCCAAGGAGCATTTTGGCAGGCTGGGACATTGATGTGATGGGCTTTGCTGTTATGCCACTGAAGCCCTGGCTTCTACCTTGATCTGTGAGCTGCAGTATAGGCTGTTACTTTAGCGAGCAGGACTCTCAGCATGAAATAAATATTTTTTATGCAAAAACAACCCACGGACTTAGAACAATTACTGTTATTATGTGGATTCCACAGACTTGTGACCTCTGCTTAAGCTGTGAACATGTACGAACAACTGTCCCAGTGTCTCCAACAAAACAAATGAGTTTGTGTGTGTGTGGCCTGTGCATCTCTCAGATGGCCCAGGCAGGGGCAGCCCTGCATTCTTATCAGCACTGCCCAGTGGGGTCTGTGTTTCTGATTGATTGTGGCTGATGGTGAGGGTCTTCAAGGGGCCTTTTGTTTTTCCCACAATAAGAAAATTCTAATGACATTCTGCTGAGGGCTTGCCTTCATTTCCTTTCATAGAAAAGAAAGGCCAGGTCCTGGCATGGTGCCCTGGCTGCTTGGTGGGCAAGATGAAAGAAAGTCAAGAAATTTCCATTACACCCATTTGGGTCCATGTGGAGCTGTGTGTGAACTAGCTGAGCCTGTACCTGGCTGTTCCTCTTCCCCTGCTTCAAAGCATCAAGTAAGTCCCAGAGTCATTCATGTCCTGAGTCCTTTGTAATGTCTCACCCAGGTGGAGCTGAAGGAATTGCTCAACCGTCTCCTGATGCTGCTCGGAAGTGGCCCCCTCTCAGCTGTCGATCTCCAGGAAGCAGCTGAGAGTCCCAGTCCACCGATCTGTGCACAGCTCGTCAGATGCCTTCTTCTCAGCCTTTTGCTATGGACCCCGGAAGGCCATGCCAGTGCCCGGGAAGCCATCACCTGTGTAAGTTGCTCTCTTTTCCAACCCGTACTTCACATTTACACTCTAGGTCAATTAGATAATCTAATTTGGTTATCTCCTTGAGGGTCAAGGCCTTTAAGAGCATAGCCCAGGATACTGTCCCAGGGTCTGGAAGTCAGTCAGCAAGGCCACCGCTGGCACAGACCCAGAGGACACCTTTGCTGTTCAAGAAAACTAGTTTTTGTGTTGCTGTTACAAAATCTGAGAAAACAACTACAAGGAAAGACTTACATATTTTGCTTTCAATTGGCTCAGTGGTGCTGGGCCCATGGTCAGGCAGATCATGTTGGCGAGGACTTGTGGCATTGGTTGTCTACCCAGAGTGTGGAGAAAACGGGGATCATCACCCATGACAACATCCCTAACGACCTCCCCCAGTGACCCGCTTCCTTCAGATAGTCCTACAGTACCCAGAGCCTCCTCAATAGTCCTAGCAGCAACTGTGAAGTCCTAGACATGTGAAGCACATGAGCCTGTTGGAGGACAAGTTGTATAAACTGTGACAGTTAGTTGGAAATTCTTGTAGAAGCACACAGGGCATGATGGCTTTGTAAAGGGCTCAGTCAGAAGTGAGTCACATTTGTAACGTAAGACCTTGCAATGATGGTTTGAGTATGACACCAAAAACAACAAAAGGAAAAGCTAGGGAAGGTAGACTACATCAAAGTTTAAAACTTGTGCATCAAAGGATACTATCAAAGTGCAAGGATGAATCAAGAAGGGGAGAAAACCAGGGTTAGGATGTAATATATACAGAATGCATTCAGAATTCTAATGACTGATAACAATACTAAACTATCTCTAGTGTAAGAATAGGATAGATACTTCTCCAAGGAAGATGTGCAAATGTTCAGAAGAAGCACCTGGGAAGATGCCCATGGCACTGTGGTTACCACATTGCACACCTAGATGGTGGCTGCTGCAGAATAAGTAAAGCAATACTGAGAATTAGAGCGGCATCCTCAGGTGTTCAGGCGTGTGTTTCCAATAAAGACCGCTAGAGTGATGCAACTCTGAAGGAAGTGAAGTCTCACTCTGCTATGGGACATAGAGATCCTGTCCCCAGGCTTCCCCAAAGAACTGACAGCAGGGCCTTAAACAGGTATCTGTGTACCATGATTTGCAGCTGGTGATAGCAGCAAGAAGGAATGCATGGCTGGATAATGCATGCCTGTGCAGACATACCATGGATTACCCTTTGGGCTTGGAAAGCCAGGCCCTTCTGCCACGTGTTAAAATGTGGATGAAGCCTGAAAGCTTTTTGTACTGTGGAATCAACCATTTGCAAGGAAACTGACGCAAGTCCACCTGTTTGAGTTCTTTGGAATAATCTGGTTCGCAGAGGCAGAAGTAGGGCAGAGGCTTCCCCGGGGTTAGGGGGTTTAGTATTTAACCTGTGCAGAGTGTCTGGAGATGGGTGGAGTAATGGTCATACAACATTGTGAATGTAGGTGGTGCAGGCCTGGAATCCCAGCAGATGAGAGGAGACAGGAGGACCAGGCATTCAGGGTCATCCTCAGCCACATGTGAGTTGGGGCCAGCCTGTGCTACATGCGATACCGCCTCAAAAGAAAACAAAAGGTGAACCACAGCATTGCCAAGCACAAGTTTTACTCTCAATTAAAAGATATTAGCACCTTATGAAAATACATAGCTTGATAAAGTTTTACAAACAGAATAAAAAAAAATAGAATTAAGGTATTCAGCAGCCAGCAACCCAGTCAAGAAAGGGCTGTTCCCAGAGCACCTCCTGGGTGTCGGTATGAACGAGAACACTAGAAGGAAAGTCAGGAGGCAGATGCCTTCCTGCCAAGAGCCCTCTATCCATCAGACAGAGGCCTCCTGTGCCTTGGGAGCTAAATGCAGGAGAGGACTGCCCTGTCCTGCATTGGGGCATGTTAGGTCCAGAGTAAGGATATATTAAGAAAGCTAGTGAGTATGGTCCTAGAATACATGCCTTCAACAACATGGCAAAGCAGGACATGGTAATGAGGGAGAGAGGCAGTCACCAATGCAAATGTTGCCTCACTGTAACTTCATCTGCCATGTTGGATGTGGGGGATGTTAGACAAAGGGTCCAGTATTGCAGTTATGAGTGGGTCCTGACTCAGTGACTCCACCTGAAAGTCCCTCAGCTACACTTCAAGTGTTCTGCGTATAGTGTACGAAGTAATGGCTGTGTTAACTAGACTGAGAATCAGTTCACAGTGTGGATATAGCAGAGCCATCACCAGAAACAAACGGCAACATAGAGTCCCCTTGAAACAGGAGAACGCCATATGCCATGAGCTCACCAGTCAGCTTCCATGCCAGGCCTGTTGCAGTAGCTCTACCTGTCAGCTTCTCCCTGGGAGTCAGGCTAGCATGTGACACCCAGTGTCACATGATAACAGTGAATTTGTGTGGTCTCTCTTTGATTTCTTTTCTTGGTGATGTGATAGAATGTCCTGAGAAAAACAAGGTAGTTTATTCTGGCTCACAGTTCTAGGGTACAGTCCATCACGGTGGGGATGTTGCAGGAGCTGGAGGTGTAGCCGATCACAGCCTCCTTATTCAATAAACAGAGCATCATGGATGTGTAGACTCACCTGAGCTAACCTCTCTATTCAGTCTAGGACCCCAGGCCATGCACCAGCACCGCTCAGTGCATCATCCTGCTTGAGTGGACAATCTACGTAACTACTCATTGGCTTGTTCAATACCATTAACACCCCACAACAACACAATCACAGCAGAATGATAGCCCAGGTCTCATGAGAGGAAAAACATTAGACACCCCCGGTAAGGGACATTGTACAGAACTCCTAATCCTCGTCACGGTCATAAGAAAAATGACTGAGGAAACTTCATAGCCAAGAGCCAACGGACACACGATGGCAAAGTGTGCTATGTTGGTACCCTGGAGAGGACACAGAGCACTGAGGAGTAAGAATAAAAAGTGTGCTTGAGGGATAGGGATACAGCATGGGTAGTGGGAGCTCTCTCCACTGTGTAATCCCTGCAGTGACCAAGTCTGATAGTGTTGAGTTGGCAGTAGGTGCTTCTCAATTATGGAATTGGTGTGTCTGACCTCTTCATAAATGCTCACATTGTCTATGGACAGAGGGTCAGCTCTGCTGCTGGGACATGTCCTTCGGGGCCACAGGGTCCCTGCTCTGTTACAGTCCTGTCACCCTCACTGAGTAGAGTTAGCAGGGAGTTTCAGGGGACCATTAATCAGGTCTATTCCAGGCACCCATTAACGGTGCTAATCTACACCTAACACTGCCCAATCACAGAAACTCCAGGTCAGATCAACTGCCTAGAGTACACAGAAAGGCCTTACACTAGTTCCTCCAAGTTGTGCTCCCTCTGGCTTAGGTGCTGTCCTTACAGACACTGACAGCTGTCATTGACACACAGCCTTCCTTTAGAGGAGGCATAGCTCCAGGCATCAGTAGCTGGGCTTTTGGTTTCTAACCGAGTTAATGGTAGTAGTCATCAACATTCAGGTTAGCCTTCTGCAAAAGGGCACTTCTGTAGGAGCAGTGTGGAGATCACCGTCCGAGGACTTTTGCCTTTGTGCAGATTTAATGTGAATTCAGAGAGTTGGTACAGAGCCACTTCCAGGCGTGCGGTGTGCCCTCTGTCTCAGCAGCCAGTTCTACAGAACTGAGTGGGCACTGTAGCAGGCAGCAGCTCTACTTCCCTAGGACCTCCTGCCACCTTGCCAGTCTCTCCTTCCCGGCACAGCTTCGTTCCAGCCGTGAGCCTGGGGGTTGGCTGGCTCCTGGTCCTCTCGTGGGCTTCCCTGCCTGGCTTTGGCCTTCTGAATTGCCATATTCCTCAGCAGCCATCTGCTCTGGGTTTTTCTTTCTCTGCCCCTCATTGCCACATCCTTGTTCCCTCACTGGTGCTAGGATGGGCGTGCTTAGAGCACGTTTATGTTTGTAGCCTTCTCCATCCTGCCTGCTCTCACTGCATTTTTGTGAACCTCCTCTTGTCTTGAACTTCCTTCCCATCAGGTTGGCAGCAGTGTGAGATCAGCTCTGAGGTTTCCACATTGACTGTGACTTAACTTTTTCAACACAGTGCAACACCCCAACCAGCTAGGGCATACGTTTCTGTGGGGCTCCAGGTCCGGGAAAGACACAAGGTTAGGCTGGGTAGTGACTACCTACTTGGCCCTGAGTGGGAGGCAGTCTGTGCCCACACAGGGGCTAGACATACATGGTGTCTTTAAGGCACCTGGGGACTGATGCTGCACCAGGAAGGACAGAGGCTGCCTCTAAGGTCCAGCACCGTGCATCTGGGCAGTGACAGGTCGAAAGCCCAAAGCCTGAAGAAGCCAGGCCATCCCAAGCCCCATTAACTTTAGCAACATGGCGAGGTATGCAGATGTTAGGACTGCAGCTCTCCCTAGCTGTGTTCCACTTTACTGGTGGCCAGAGGTAGGAGGCCCAGGAGTGAAGGGCTGACTAGGCTGTGGGCCGGTGAAGGCTCAAAGTCAAGTTAGGGTAAACCTAGGGCCACTGGTCACCCTAGGGAAAGGCCTGGGGAGACAAGAGGAAGCTGAGGTGGGGAATCTGCAGGTGCTGTATGAACCAATACAACAAGCATACCTTCCTCCAAACTCAGGGTTCCTTCATGCTGCTGCATTTAAAAGGTAGTGTCTTGCACAGATGACAGAGTCTCAACCTCCCTCTGTCATCTCAGCAAAATTCTGTGAGGAAAGAAAGTACTGATGTCAACAAGCAAGAATGCCTCAGGGCTGTTAAAAGTTCAGTTACCACCTACTCTGCATGCTGTGCTGTAGGTGGATGGCCCAGGAATGTCAGCTTAAGGCTGCTTGTGTGGAAGCAGGTGGCCTTTGCAAAGGAAGTAAAGTGACAGACACAGTTTGCTCCTCATAGTACACAATCCCAAAGCTGTGGCAGAGTGCTGAGAAGTCCTTGCTGCCTCCACTCTGCTTACATGTGTCCCTGAGAGCCTAAGACCACTTGGGCTCATGTGGTGGGGCTGGTCATCAGGAAGTGGCCCTTAGTGGCCTAGAGAGGGACCCCTGGAGACAGACGTGCTTTGATAACTACCTTGTAAACAAGGCAGAAGTGACCCATGCCTCCCCTGTAGCCTTCTGCTGCGTGTACTGGGGAGGGCTGTCTGGATAGTGGTTTTCACCTTCCCTCTCTTCCCTGGTGGCAGATGGTGCACACGGATGCTGCAGCCCATGAGATTGTCGGCTTTCTTGACCAGACCTTGTTCAGATCCGATCATCTTTGTGATGAAGCCTCAAGAAAACTGGCCAGAGAGCTCCTTCAGGAGCTGCAAGCTCAGGTCTAGCAGGCAGCACAGAGTGTGTGGACTTTGCATGGACATCTGTCTGGTGAAGCTCCGACCCTGGAGGCCCTGTCTGACTTGAGCACACCTGTGCCTATGCATGCTGTGCAGCCTGGCCAACGGGGTCCATGAGAGTTATGAAGGGAAAGGTCCATACCACCCGGAGCGTTCCAGTCTTACATGATGAGAGCCATCCCTGCCTGGTTTACTGACTCCTTTATCCCCCCATGCTGATAAAGGTGCCAGTGAATGGTGGAGGGATGCTCAGCAGCAGGAAAGGTGAGCCCTGCAGCACACAGGTGAGCACTTCCCTTAGCAGGAACTGTTGCCCAGCAAGGCCTTTGTTCCTCAGTGCTGAAACGCTGTAAAGCACCCACTGCAGTTGGCGGGACAGAGGTGGCCAGAAAAGGGTCATTAGTTCCTCCTCCAGCAAACGTCCAAAAAAATCTGCTTCTTGGGTGACCCATGTAGAGTAAAACAGGATTTGGGAACTGAAAATTAGCCTGTCCTCCACTCGCTGTGGATGGGAATGCTGAGCACATCTGTAAGTTATCTAGTGAGACTGTATACAAGTAAGCAGTGTGTGAGCAGAGAAGGCCACCAAGCTGTGATCCTCCTGTAGATTTGCTACGAGAACCCTTGTCTCAAGTGCAGGTCAGCGTCAACTCTCAGAACGTGGGAGTACACTCATAGGACGACATTTGATTGCTGCACTTACAGGGTCACTTAGAAGCATGGTGGAAAAGTTGGGAAGGGCCCTGGCTTTTCCCTTGCATTTACTCATCCAGGCTCTCAACCAGCAGCCAGGGCAACACTGACCAGCCTGTGCTCGCTGGATCCCTGCTGATGGGTCCATGGGAAGATGGGGCTAGACTTTTTAGCCTTTTCACTCTAAATAAAAAGTACTTGATTTTTTATTCAATTATTCCCCCTCCCATAAAAAAAAAAAAAAAGAAAGAAAGCTTCCCCTCCTACCTGTGGAAGCTTCAGGTCCCACAAAACTTGGCTTGGAAAAGACCATTTCTGACTTACCTCTGGACAAGCTGGGGTTCTGTCACCAAAGAAGGGAGAATGTCCAGAGGACAGGTAGATAGGAGCACTCAGTTGTTTCCTGTAAGCTAAACTTAATTATGACCGCACTTCTCTCTGACAGAGTCGCTGAGGTACTTTCCATTCTGAATGGGAAGAACAGCGTACACACTGCCGTTCTTTCTCCCTGTGTGTTCACACGTTTGTATCCTGCAGCGGTCAGGAAGAGAAGGGATTGTGTGCACTCTGCTTCCCTAGGACCCAGCCCACTCAGTTATGCAGATGCTGGGTGGTTGGCAAGGACCCTTCTTGGCCAAGGAGCCCAGAACTGCAGTTGGAGAAAGATGAGAGATGAGTGACCCTTCCTCTCTCTCTCCCCCTCTCTTTCCATCCAGAATATGGTCCTGCTCTTAGCTGGATACTGGATTTGAACACGAAGTCTTTATCACAAAGCCATTTCACAAACCCCAATCCAAAATTAAGCAAAATAAACTCCTTACAGAAACCAGACTCACATTTATTCCAGGCCATGTGCTAACTTTCGAGTGTACAGGTCCTAGAAACAGCATGGTTAAGGAGTTACTGCTCCATCCAGAATCCAGCTGTAGCTACTTAACTGGAAGAATGTAAGATGGACAGTCAGGTGGGCTCTATACACCTGTGTCTACCCGCCGATGACCGGTGATTAGATGTGCTGCATACAAATAACAGTGTCACTTGGTTTTACAAAGGAAGAGGGCTGGGGAGATGACAGTTCAGCAGGTCGAGGTGCTGCAGGCCTGGCCACTGGAGTATCGCCCCAGAGCCCACATAAAGGTAGAAGAGACCCAGACCACTTTGTTGTCCTGTGATCTCACATTTACACCATGTTCATGCCCAACATTATGCATAATAATTATAAATACAAATTTTTAATTTAAAAAATAAATTCTTACAGGCTACAACATGGAAGCTGCTATGCTAAGCTAGACCAGCCAGCCAGATGCAAAAGAACATTGTAAAATGTACATACGATCCTAAGAACAGAAAGATTCATGACAGCCTGGTAATTCCATGGGAGAGCAGGGATGGGGTTAGTGTCCGATGGGTACAAAGGATTCTGTCGGGGAAGAGAGAGTTCAGAATACAGATGGCAGCAGTCACACAGCGATGAGACAGCACTGATGTTTGCTCTCAAGACACCACGGCAGTGAATTCTCTGCTGTGAATATTTTACCACAATAAAACCACTAAAACCTAGATTACAGTTCCGTCCACCCTGTAACACACCTGCTTTGGGTATCCCCTCCATTTCCGGGTGGCCTGGATCCCAGTGACGAGAACATTGGGATGGTACTCAGATGGTATTGCGCATATACAACAGCCAAGGTTATGCGGTGAAGCTAACCTTGGGGTAAAGCCCTGGCTCAGTGAGTTAAGCCAAGACATTAGGAAAAAAGTGCACCTAAGGCCTGGCTCTGTTAGCAGGCTTTCACATCCAAGCTAGTCAAGTGGTTAACATGAAGAACGAGCTGACGGGCTCAGCTGTGTGCCCAGGCTACAGAAGAGCTGAGCGAGAGAGCAGAGGGTGCCCACACGGTGCCCACACGACACAGTGTGTCTGCTGGAAACCCCAGATCTCTGCCCTGTGTACCCATGGCTTCTACGCCCAGGGAGTCAGCCAACGGCCTTGTCAACTTTGAAATGTGTTCACTGACCTCATTCAAAATTCTTTGTCTTCCCACTTAAGACAGTCATCAGCTATTTCCAGTTCACAGTCTCATGCCAGTAGTCCAGAGATGGTTTAGGTGTGAGTGAGGTGCTCGCCTGCGGTCCCAGCTCTAGCGGTAGAAGGACCTGGAGGTACAGGTGACCCTCAGCCACTCAGGAAGCTTGAGCGAGGATGTGTCCTGGCTGTGTGGTCTGACAGTGTAAATGTAACAGTTCTATACAGACTTGAGTGTCTTTGGAATTTGTGGAGGGCCCTGAACCACCCCTCAGTGACACTGCACAATGGCTGCTGTGCTGCCTCTGGAGCGGTGTGAGGCAGGGTGCTGGTTTTCTAGTTAAGTACTCATTGTTGGATCCTTGTGTTCTGACATGCATCCCGGGGACTTGGGCTCCATCTGCCGTGTGCCTGACCTTTGTACAATCGATGGCCTCGCTCCTCTCCCCTCCCCTCTCCTCCCCTCCCCTCCCGCTCTGGCGAGACCCCACTGGCACCAGTCTTTTCATGGACATAGTAAATCAGGTTAAAATCACAACTACAATTCTTTGCCATTAGATCACTATTGCTTTTTATAATTCAACAAACTGCTACCCACAGCCTCCTTCCCCAGGCAGACCTCACAGCCGTCTCCAGCCTTGATGGGCCACACTGCTGAGTCTCCAGAGACTCAGCATTGGAGTCTGGAGGTAAGGGATGAGGTGAGGCTGTGCTAGGCCCAGGTGGCCTTGCTCCTCCGGCTTTTCAATGCCTCAGGTTCCATCTGGTTTAGGAGGCTACACTTCCCCCACAGGCTATTCCATCTGGAGCGTGGGCAGAAAAGGCAGACCCACCAGAGCAGAAAAGAACCCTCCAGAATTTGGGATGCTGAGTACTACAGTTAGTAGTTGCAGCACCTCCCACTGCCACTCCATTGGCACAGCAGCAGAGCACCAGGCTCAAAGGGGGCCTGGAAAGAAATTACGAGCAAGCAGAGGAAAAAGTTGGCTTAAGCAGTGAGGGGCACACAGCCACAATGAGCCATGTGGCCAGGACAGAATATGGCCTGGGCTGTCACTTCCCTGGTGGATCACCTTCCTGGAATGCCCCGGGGCTCCCCTGGCCTCCCGGCCCTCCATCCTGCCAGTGCCTAGGTAAGGTTGCTATACAGATAAGAGACAGTGGGTTGACTCAGGACCGGTGGGACAGGTCCGGTACCCATCCCCGTTCTGTCCTTGGGGTTCGTAGGCCAACCCAAGCCTGTTCCATCTCACGACACTGAAATGACCAGGTTTGATTTTCTAGGCTGTCTGCAGAGAAAGGGCCTTGTATCTCCAACACAAACCATGCCAGTTTTCTAGTGCCATCATCAGCTGCTGATCACATTCTTGTGACTGCGTCCTACCTTCTTTTGTTTCCTGGGCTTCTTTGAGAACAAGGGGCATGGACACTCCCAACTGGCTCAGCCTCCAAGGCGGAGCTTCTCTCTGGCCAGTCTTCCATGGGGTTATACATGGTAGCAAAGTTCTCAGCGCCTGCCCTGTCCTGGGAAGCTTCCTCGGTTTGTGCAAGGTTACCTTCCTCCTTTTCACACTGTCTGGTTTGTGGTCTGGGAGAGAGCACCAATGGGTGGGAAGGGGTTATAAAACCTTGCCCTGAATAGTGGTCTGCTGCCGCTTCTTCCTACCTCATAAACGCCACAGCCTAGCCAGGGGGCTGAGTTCATGCCCCTCACTGAGATTAAGCAACTTTCCTCGGGAGGTTCAGGCAGGCCCAGCCCCAGCCCTGGATGTCTCGGAGATGAGGTGGGGCCAGGCCGCCTCCAGGGTCTCTCTCTCCACTTGAGGGCTGACTGTTGTCTTGATGGCTCTTTTGAGTATGGGAACCCCAAGGTAGCTCAGACTGAAATGCCCGGGAAGGAGTGTTCCAAGGGGTTGCTTAACCACCAAGCTTTTGGAAACAGTGTCAAGCCACTTGATGTCAAGTACTGTGGGAATGGCTATGGCAGGCCAACCACAGCCGCAGGCCCGGCACCCAGGTCTGCTTGGAGGCGTAGCTGGGGCAGGCTGTGCCCCTTTTCCTTCCCAGGCCAGTGCCATTCCCCTACTGGCTGGCTCCATCTACAGCCCAGGCAGTGGCCAGCTGGACTGAAGCATAAAGCCTTGCATATGACTCCTTCAGATCCCAAGCCCCTAAGTACTGCTTTCTGTTTTAACAGCTGCTTTGGGGAGTTGCAGCAAAGGTAGCACTGGAGAACAGAGGTCCTTCTGTGTGTGCCATCCCCAGCTAGCTGCACCTCACTGGGCTCCTGTGGCCATGTCCTGCTGAACCAGTCGGGAGAAAAATTGGTAGGGGCTGCAGAATCTTCTCTTCATTTTCAATGCAAGGCTTACACTTAGGTACATATGTCATTTCTGTTCTACCCTGGGGACATTCAGTGACATTTCTGCTCACCACGAGCAAGAATGCCTTGCCAGGGTATAGAATGTATTTCATTCTTTTGATTTCCATTAAAAATAAATGCTTTAAAATCCTCCACTTCTACTGGCGCAGCTGGGGCAGAAAACCCAGAGCCTTTCTCAACACCACCCTTCCTTTCCTGCCTAGGTCCAGCCAGAACTGGGTGGTGGGCTCTTAGCCAGCTGGCCCCTGCCCCTTCCTGGGGCTCAACTCTCCCCAAAAATCAGGTGTGGTGAGGCCAATGGCTGCCTTCCTAAGCCAAGGTCAGGGTATATGTAGGGTGGACAACACAGTGGGGTCAGTGCCCTTCCCTCCTATGCAAGTCGCCATGGTCCAGGGGCCAGCAACAGAAGAGCCAGATGCACCCCCTTCCTCCATACCTAGCTACCTGGACCAGGCAGAGCCTGGCCATAGTGCTGGCCATGGTCCACTGAGGCCTGCTGTAACCCTTGTGGGAGCATCCGCAGATAACACTGGTTCATGGTACTCATCTGGAGAGGAGATGGAATGACTACTAGGCCATCTTGTTCCAAGTGGCCAGACCAGGGGTGGGAGGAGGCCATTTATGATGGTCTCAGTGAGCGCAGGCTGGCCCAGCCCTGGCCTCTTGTTCTCTAGTGATGGAGATGTTCTTGGCAATCAAGATGACAGTGTTTGGTGACTGACAGGCAGAAGAGGCTGGAGTGTTCCTGCAGTCCCACTCACCTCTTGGCTGTGATCTTGTGAGGATCCTCCTATCCCAGCCCCTCTGCCCACTGGTGGCATCAATCCATTGGCATGTTTTGCTCCTTCCTTAGAAGCTAGCATCTTCACCAAGAACCCACGTGTCTCCTCAGGGCCCATGTATCAAGCCTGAGGAAAAGGTACACCCCTGAGTTCCTCCAGGAATGGCTCAAGTGAGGCTGGGAAATGGCATGGAAACAGTACTGGCAACAAGTGTGTCTGACCATCAAGCACAGCCTCTGTTTCTGTCCACATTATGTAGCAGACCTTAGTTCGGACTTCAGGCTTTTCAACAGAGGCTCACCCTCACATCCGAGCAGCAGTGTGGACAGGTCCCATATGGGCGTTCCAAGTCTGCTGCTGCGTAGGAAGGCAGGGCAGTGGGAATGCTTGGACATTAGACACTCTGAAGACCAAGACCTGAAGCCACTGGGAAGAACCCAAGCAGCCAAAGCAAGACACGGGGCTCAGCCCCCTGACAGCACCCACCTGTGCAGCAGTTCTGGACAAAGAACAAAACCAGACCAAACCAGGGCTCGATGCTCACCCCCAATTCACTGCAGGTAGGGGCTGCTGAGATTCTGGGTGTGGTTCCTGGTCCATCTCTAAGCAAGCCCAAAGTGAGTGCTTCTGAGAATGCAGGGCCACAGGCTCAGCCATCTATTTCAAGTCTTCACAGAGTGTAGTGTAATATGAAGTCTTTAACACATTTTGATTGTTCTACCATTACTGTATACAAAGCAGATGACCATTTGCAAGTCTCCGGCAACCATCCACAACGAAGTCCCTGGTATACAACTCAGGCTCTGAAGCCCAATGGCTCTTTGCCAACATTTCTCTCAGTCTGACCTAAAGCCTCCCTCACCCAGCAGGTCTGAATGCAGAAGCCTGCCATGCGGAGTACTTCTGGTTCCTTCTCACATGGCTCAGCTTTGTCCAGCTTTGACTGCACCCACGGCACAGCCCCAAACATCTTTCCCTGGAGAGGAACTGGAACTTCTTAGAGCTTGTTCTGTAAGTTAATATTTAAAGTAAAGGAAAACGTCTCCTCCCACCCCCTTCCCTGTCCCAGAGTGGCTGAGACCCCATAGTTTAGAAGACAGCTGAGGCTCACACCACACGAGTTACTTTTGTGTTCAGCCTTCTTAGAATTAACATTACTTGAGGGAGGAAAGGATACCTACCACATGTGAAAAGTGCCCATTCTGACACATGATCTTCCTTGCTTTCAAGCAGCATCAAATTCAGAAGCAAACAGGAGTACCAGCAAATCTAATACTTTATTAAGACAGCTTAGGCGTTCCTGCATTTTCAGAAACACAAATGCTGTACTGGCTGAGCACATCAAAAGGACTCTGCGGAATCCTTGGGGACCAGCCACGGGAGCTGTCATGGGACTCTGTAGTCCCAGAGCATGGCAGCTACATTTCGCGATCACAGGAAGCAGGCAGCCAGTTCTCCATCTGCCTAAGGGAGAATGTCCTTCATTCTTCACACTGCCTTAAACTCGTAGCTCAAGTCCAGGGCATCGACTCTGTCCCTCTGTGCTCAGGCCTGGGAGCAGGCACAGCTGTTTAGGAGGCTCCACCTTTTATGTATGCCTCGGGAGCCCAGTCTCTGGGCACCAGAAGCCCAAAATGCGAGTGACCGACGCTGTGAGCAATCCTCCCTTTGATGTCCAGGGTCAGTGCAGTCCTGGCCTCTCCAGGGGTAGGAGAAGGCATATGAGAAAGAGTCTCACTGTGATCTACCCTGTGAAGGAAACAGCAATAAAATTTATTACCCTAGTCACCACTGTCATTCCTGACTGCTCCTCCCAGCCTTTGACCTCCGCTGGAGAGGGAACTTTAATGGGAGGACAGGGACGGGACTGGAGCCACACCTCACAGCCCTAGACCTGGGGTGTGTAGTCATACCACCAGCCACACAGGGCCAGAGGTTCAATGACAAGGTGGCTATTGAAAGCGCCTTTCAGACCGGCATTCTCACTGCCTCAGAAGGTTCAACTCAGCACGTGACTGGGCAAATGCTCACTTCTGCTCTTCTGCAAACTTTCCAGGGTTAGCTCTGCATTCTACAAATCCCCACCACAGGAGCACATACAGAGGATGCCACTGCTGTCCACACCTGGCAGCAGACACTCAGGCCCTTCATCTTCTTCTCCAAGGGAGGCCTGCCTGAGGCACTTACAGATGGGTAGGCTTTTTGCTCAAGGGCTCGACTCCTGTTCCTGCTGAACTGAGCCAGTGTGTGAAATGAGAACTGATATCAGCTCAGTAGGCACCGGAGGGCGGGTCCAATCACAGCTGGGCAGTGCCTCCTGGCATGCCATCGGCATCATCCTGCCAGCGACTACGGAGACATGGAGACCTGGACTGCAAATACAAGAGAGAGTTCACCACGCCCGGCACAGACAACAGAATCCCCCCTCAAGAGTGGCATCAGCTGAGTCATGGTTGGCTCAATTTTCACGATGCGTCTGGTGTTAGTTTTCTGGGATTTCCAATGCGCTTGACATTACAGTGACCTAGTTAGCAGATCTGTATGTTCTGTAGACGCACTGAAGGGTGGTCAGCACACTGCTTGCACTCTTGATTAACACACCCTTGGGGCAGGCTGGTCTCTCCTCCTCTGGAACTTGGCTCCAAACCAAGCTGACCACCAGCCGTGGCCACACCTGGCAGCAATGGCCTCTGCCCGGCAGCAACTTAACTGTCCCCATCTCACCTTCTCTTCAGGTGCAGAACTTAGCCACTGTGAACAAAGCGGAAACCAATCACTGTTCACCAATCAGCTAAGCTCTGCACCTTGTTAGAGAGGTCATCGCCGGCCATAACTAAAGGGCTGGTGAGCATCTTCGAAGGCTGTTGGCTTCCTTTGTTTCCAAAAAGCCACAAGGTGCATCTGTTCTCCGAACTGCAGAGATAAAGTAGCCACGGTTCTGCAGGAGCAGCCAAGGTCATGGTTGCGTGGTAATCCCTGGCAATGTGATTTTAATCTCAAGTCACAAATCAGCATGCCAGGAACCCAAGCAGCCAGAGCAATTGAGGGCAGCGCCATGCCCTACCACTCCCATCCACAGGTGCTGGGCATCCTCCTCCACACCCTTGGAGCCCAGTACACTTGCAGTGCAGCCTGCTGCCATCCAGCGTGTTTGCTGCACTGTGTAGGGACGCACTCATCAGCTATGTGACCAATACCTGAGGGGCCATCCTTACTCTGAGTATATGCCCTTTAAGCCTGGGGACACAACCTGCTCTCAAAATGTGGATCCTGAGTGGCCTGGGCTGTCTCTGGGCCCCTCAGGTGAGGGAGCACCTCTCTGACAGGAGGTGTGATATGTAGGGAGCATCTCTTGTTCCCATCCACACAGGTTTCTGGGGCTGCATTGGCTGGAGGGGCTTCGGACAGCAGAGACAGTTCCTAAGGGCACTAGGAAGCTGAGGACTGGTGACAATTTTTTTGCCTGCTCAGGGACCAAAAAATCGTCAGAGTCACCAGAAGCACTGTGTGACTCTGTGGTTCCTCAAAAGTGAAGGCCAAGGGAACATTAAGAGGGAATAGTGGCTTCCCTGCCATTTTCACGTACCACACACAATTCTCCCTGAGCGTAAGTGTATGGAGAAATGCCTGCAGGAGGCAGGTGGAGAGACGCCCGACTGCTTCTGCCTGTTTACACAGTCCACCTTCACAGCTCTGCCATCGCGTACCACACCCCATGTCTCCCCTGCCTGGTGATGGTGGTCCCCAGCAATTCTGCAATAACACGGTCACATTTCAGTAAACATCTTTTCCCTTCAGAGTCCTAGTTCTTTCAGTACATAAAACATTCAAACATACCACACAGAAGTGGTTTTTATAAAAGTGAAATGTGAGAAGGTAAATGTCTAACAATGGGTTAAGACTAGCAACACAATTCTAAATATTCATCAATTAGTAATCACAGAGAACAGAGTAACACAAACAGTGATTGAGATCTGATTTGAAATTTAAAAAGATAAACAAATGTAAGCATCGCATCATGTACCACCATGAAGATAAAGTGAGAAGATGGAGAAGGATGATTTGTGACTGTGAAGGATGATTTGTGACTGACCATGCTCTGTGGCTAAACTACATCACTGGTTGACAAGTAACACAGCAAGGACTCTGGGAGCCAAGGTGAACCCTACTCCAGCATGAGGTCGAAACAGACCTGCCAGTAGGACACAAGTGTCATGTGGGAAGGAGAGGATGGGAGGACCTGCTGCCTACCTCACACAAGTGTCACCGAGCAAAAGAGATGGGCAGGAGTGCTCCGCTGCCTACTTTATAGGTCAGGGGCACAAGAGGCCAAGAGTCTCAGGTATGCGTGGCATACAGAAGCTTGGAGCAGAGCAGTGTGGCCATGTTGACCTTGACTCTGAAACCTGCGGATCTGTGCAAAAACCCAAAGTGGCCAAAGCAGTGCAGGGGTGGGGGATGTCACTCCCTTCAGGAGGACACCTGTTTTACATCCATGGTTCCAGAAGATGAGGTAGCTCCAGGGACCCTGAGCCTTCCTGTTCTTGGGGACCCATCCTGCTAGCTCCCCAAAGCCACTTTGGCAGCCCTTCTGGTGCTGTGATGGCCTTGGCTCATCATGTGGCTTACAAATGGACTTAGATGTTTAGGTGGAAAAATGAAGGAGAGAATTACCTCTTTAAAACAGCATTTCGGTCACCACCTGCGCTGAGGCTCTGTCCATGTGTTCCTTCACCAGCTCAAAGCACTTGTGGGCAAGCTGCTGCTGCCTGGCATCCTCATTCACCATCAGCTCCCCATACAGGTATATGCCCATGGCCTGCAGGGCATGGAGGCCAGAGAAGAATGGGAAAGGCGTAAGAGGCTGTACATGTTCACGGAGACATGTTTGTACTTGATTTACACAAGCTGGTCTAAAAACACAACTGCTGTGCAGCTGACCAGCTAGCTGGACTTTGCAGTTTCTGCTCTGTCTCTTCCTTGTCCTCACCTACACTCTGAAGCTGAACATGGTGGCACAGGCCTTTAATCCCAGCAGTGGGAGTCAGAATAGGCAGATCTCTGAGTTCAGGGTCAGCTTGGTCTAACACAGCAAGTTCTACGCTAGCCAGGGTCACACGATGGAACCCTAGCTCAAAAAACAACCCAACAACAGAAACATGGGATTTTCTTGGTCCTGTCAATGGACTCTGGTACCCAAATGTCAAGCTGTCCCACAGTGGCTACTCTGGGCAGAGGCACAGCTCCCCAAGTGCTCACTGTGGAATACCTTTCTGTCAGGTCAGTGCATCCCAAAAGGCAGCTAGTTCACCAAGTCCATCACACCAGGCCACAGAGACCACATGGCCAGGGCTGCAGGCAGGGCAGATGCCATCACTATGGCCAAGCCCGGACACCTTCCACCACTAGGTCCCAAAACATTAGACACTGGCTCTGCTGCTTTGAACTTGCACTGTGCCAACATTAAACACAGTCAGTTACATTCTGCAAGACCAAGAGTTCTGCCTGCTTTCTTGTTCTGTGGATCTTCCCAAGGGTTAGAGCCTGCTTCAAATTCAAAAGACTTCAAAGGCAGCATAGGATAAAACCAAAGTGTTGGCTTCCAAAGTGTTTTCCTGCACGGGCTGAGGAGTGGAGATGCCTGTTCCCTGGACAGCAGGTGGTTCCACTGAGCTGCTCTAGCTCTGATCCTGTGTGCTTTCTCACAAGCCTCTTATCCCACTGTGCAGAAAGCCACACCTCTTTCTTTATGGGACTAACCGGCCCTTACTGTGCTGACCGCCCCTGTCCTCAGACTCTGTCAAAAGTCCATCTGTCCTCCCCACCCCCACTTTCCACCCCACCCAAAGTGGCTCCAGCTCACCAGCCTACAGCCTGCACACAGGCTGGCCAGAGACACAGGCTGGGGTTGGAGTGGGAGAGAACACAGGGAGGTCATGTGGGGACATGCCCTGAGGACAAAGCGTTAGAGGAGGTGCCCTGAGGGGGGTATGGACACTACCACCCCCCACACACCACATATACACACATACACACATACACACACACACACACACACACCCCACATATACAATATACATATATATACACACACTATACACACACCACACACAATACACATCACATACACAATATACACCCTATATACACTATACACACACCACATACATACCATATAAACACATACCACATACACATACCATGCACACACACACCACATGCATACACACCACATACACATACCACACACACACCACACCCCCCACAGATTCTGCTTCCTAGGACATTCTTTATTGCTGTTTTTGTTTTCTAGACAGGGTTTCCCTGTGTAGCCCTGGCTGTCCTGGACCCATTTGGCAGATGAGACTGGCCTTGAACTCACAGAGATCCACCTGCTTCTGCCTTCCTGAGAGATGGGATTACAGGCGTGTGCCGGCACGCCCGGCTTCTGAGGCATTTTTAAAGGAAGGAAATAGCACAGGCAGGACTGGGTCTGGCATGAATTCCAAACAGGCGACCCACTCATGTGCTGTACTTGCGCTCGGAGCCTCTACCAACTAGCTGGACCCATGGTGTTCTAAGCAATGACTTGGACTGCAAGCTCTGGAGCAAGCCTCACGTCTGCTCACAATTGCCAGTGGATCTTCAAATGTTCTGAAACTCTTTGTTCTGAAAGAAATGTGCAGAGCTTGTGACTGTGGCGGTGGCTGACTTCCACTGCACAGAGAGCACACTCACCCGATCCTCCTGGAGGAACCTCTCCACCTGCTCATATGCGTCTGTGTACTTGTGCTTAATAACCAGCTCACACCATCGGTGTCGAACCTTTGGAAACAAGACAGGAGAGCTGGTGAGCCATGGTCCTCCCCGAGTGCGGTTTCACCAAAGCCCGGGCACTTCTGCAGGCACTGTGGCTGAGCGGGCTAAAGATAGCAGCTTCACAGTGTCACACACAGCCGTGCGCGGTTCATCCTGAGGCAAGCACCTCCACTGAGATGGATGGAGAAGCTCCCGCAGGCTGCTCTCAACCTGGCAGCTCCTGAGGTGAGTCCCCCATTGCACCATGTACACCATGCACAAATGCCATGCTCTTTCCAAAGACCATCCTAAAGGCTCGCCTGTGGGAACTTGAACTTGTCTTACAAACTCAGCAGGCACGCACTGCCTGTGAGACAGCAGCAGAGCCACCAGGCACAAGCACCTTACAGGCCCAAAGCTGTGTCAAGGCACACTGATGTTTTTTAAAACCAGGAGCTTCTGCCTGTATGGCTCTCAGACCCCAGTGCAACAACTGTTGCTGGCAAGCTGTCTGAGCCACACCGAGTGAGCAGCCAGCCACCGGTTAAAGCTGTCTCCCTGCTTTAGTACCAGCCAGAGAAAGTTAAAGTCTCTTCATGCCACCCTTGTTTTTACTGCCTTTTAAGAGGGAGACACTGTGCAGTGATCCATTGCAGGTAGACATAAATGTAAGCAATGCCAACACTTTGGCTAGGCCCCTGCAAATCACATCTCTATGGGGAATTTCCAGAAACTGACAATGCACAGGGGTGGGGGTGCTGAGGGAGCCCCTAGAAAACCAGAAGGAGTTAGCTCTTCCATTCTCCAGTCAGGGGCACACCAGGACTATGGGCATCTGGCCCAGAGATGACTCTGGAACCACATATGCAGAGTACTGGGGTCCTTTGTACCTCTCCCCATCTTCCTAATTCAAGGTCATTTCTAATGGCCACATCCACACCTGGCAGTAGAACCTTTTGTTTGTGATCTTTGAAGGAGGACTAGCCAGGAGTCCTCAGGATGATAGTCATCCGGGGATCCACTGCTCTGCCACTTGTTCAGGCCCGGGAAAAGAACCTCAACTTTCTCAACTGCAAAACAGCAAAATACCTGTACCCACTTTTAATAATGGGCACATATATGAGAGCTCTGTCCAAAGTATTCTGAGGACCTACAGCTGTGGAACCTGGTTGAATTACACTTTAGCCGCTATGCCTTTTGTCACTCTAAGCCTGCAAGGTATGCATTTTAGATGTTATTTTGAAGATGGAGGGCTTTGGAAAGGTTTGGGATTGAAGCCTGAGGTGAACAGCGAGACTAACTGCTCTCTGGGTAAGGGATGCATTAAAGCAGAGCCTGACTGCTGCATGGTGGAGGCTCTGAGGAAAGATCAGGCAGCGAGAGGTCCCTTAAAGGAGGAGACATTCCACACCACTGACTGATGGGCAGTCCACAGTGCACATGTGCAGTCAGGGTCTGACTCTGGTGGGCAGATGGGAGGTAGGAAGTCTGCTGGCCTGGGGCCTACTTACAGGGTCCTCTATGAGGGTAGGGGAAACAAGAAACTTCACCAAGGAGCGCCCCCCCTGCCCCAAAACAGGGTCTAAATCATGTAGTCCAGTTGACATCAGATTTGATATACAGCCAAGGATGTGCATCTTGAAGTTTTGCACTTCCTGCCTTCACTTTCCAGGCATCAGGATTACAAGTGTGAGCAACCATGTCTTATGCAGCCGTTTATAAACCCAGGGATTCATGCACAACGGGTGAGCACTTCTACCTAGCAAGTTGCATCTCCAGACCCTCATCTTGTTTTCTGTGCTCGCCTCCTATGTACATACAGAGAAATAAACCAGGGCTCATCTGTAATTAGAAAAAGGCCCCACAGGCAGGCTGCAGCAGCCCTGCTGGGATATGTGAAGGTTCAGGAGGCCACAACACAGAGGCTCTTTCACAACGTGAAGTCAGCATTTCCACTTCTCTTACAGTTAGAAATGGTTTATTGTCATGACTAATAAGAGCGCCAATTTTCTGACCCCTGAAGGGTAGCTAACACGGCATCCAGGAAGGACAGAATGTCTGCCCCACCCCACAGAGAGCAGGACAAAACAGCCTTTTCATCATCGAGGGCTGCATGCATTTCAGTGTTTCAAAGACAGGATGTTTAAAAGACGCCAGAGTGATGCTGCAAGGCTGAGAGCCCTCACCCCCAGCCCAGTTTCCACTCACACAAGGACTTTTAGTTTTCTTTTTAGTTCTTTGGGCAACAAAGAGCATCTTAGTTTTCTCCTCCAATCTCGCAAGCCCCCACAATCCATCCCCTCACAGAATAAGGTTACACCTGGCACCTTAGCAGTTCCTCAAAGTGCGGATGGCTGGATTGCCTTCCTCCAGATCACAGACCTTGGTGCTCTTCAGAGGCAACACCTTGAGTCAAGTTCCCTCCTAGACTAACACTGGCAGGGAGTCAATACCCCACAAGCCGAACCATAACACTATGAAGCAGCTGGGCTTAATTTGTATATTCTTTCTCATTTTTCTGTAACTGGTGGATTACTGTGGGATGGTCAACCTTAACCTATCTTTTAAGGTTCCTTACATAAAGATAAAAGAAGGGGCTTACTGCATACATAGATCACGACGGGTTGGCAACCGCGGCTGCTCTGGATAAAACCCACTGTGTGGGTGTGGGGATGGGACCCAACTAAACCAAGACTGCTAACAGACCAAGCAAGAGCCGCCCCTCTCCATGCTAGGACTCTTGTTTCTGAGCAGAGGTTTTTCTTACACCATCTAACACAACAGCATAACAAGCGCTACTCTGATCTGGATTTAAAACAATCAGTGCAGTAGACTGTCTGGGCTTGTGATTTGCATGAGGAAAGACAGACTTCCCAATCCTGGTGGTAACCACTGCTGAGTCCCACACACTGGAGCTGAAGCAGATGCCCCTGGAGGGATGGTACCTGTAATACTGAAGATGGAGACAACCTTTGAGGCAATGAAAACGCAGGTGTATGCTGGCTCCTTCTCCTACCATCATTCTGCATCTGCATGTCCTGAGCTGCTCCCAGTGCTGAGGCTACTGGCCTCTGACAAGTGGGGCGGCTTACAGGAGGTACTGTTTACCAAGTGCAGAAGGGTGATGGGAAAGTGGAAGGGCAGTGGACACTGTTACACTAACTAATTTAAAGCAGCTCAGAGCTGCTGGCCAACAGGGACAGAGAACAAGAGCCTCAGGGAGGAATCTTGGGAGGGCAGCCTCCATCTCTTTCACAGCCTGGTTAGCCAGCATTCACCTCTCCTATTTTATCACTGGCTCGTCCCTATTTGCCTGTCCTGGTTAGCCAGCATTCACCTCTCCTATTTTATCACTGGCTCATCCCTATTTGCCTGTAGAATATTTCGTGTCAGGGGATGAGCTCTTGACTAACCAGCAAGCCCGTTCTCGACTCTGGCCATGGTTGGTTTTGCTTCAACAGTTGTAGTTGAATTTATTATTTTTCTTACAGTTTTTCAATTCTGTTCTTTTAGTTTTAGCATTTGTTTATGTATGTGCTCCAAATGATCTAACTTCATACTTTTCTTTGGTTAACTGAGACACAGTTTTACTATGTAGCCCAGGTTGATCTAGACTTTCCAGTGTAGCTCGAGGCTGCCTCCCAAGTTCTGGGATTATAGGCTGTTAGCCAGCATACTTGGAAAACTCCACTTTAAATATTTTTGTTTTATTATACTTCCCCTGTTAGTGGAACTGAAATTTAATGATTTAAACAGCTTTTGCTAAGAATCCCCATCAAGTATGGAGTTAGTAAATGCTTAGTCTGTTTAGTCTCCACAGTGCCCACATGGTCAGGCCAGACCAAGATGGAAGAGGCCAAAAGAAAGGTGGAAGCCTGTAGAGGTAGGCAGAAAAGGCCGATTAAGAGTCATTCCTGGAAGTGAAACTGAATGGCTCCTGCCTCTGTGTTGTCTTTGTTCTGGCTGGACACGTGGCTACCAAGAACTTTCTCTCTCTTCTCTTCTGAGCTGAAAATGCAGACAGTAGACAATCCTGACTAGGTGTGCAGAAGGAGGCGCAGCCTAGAGCCTGGCTGGCCCCACACTGCCGCCAAGGCTGAAGGACACACACACAGGGCCTAGCCCACAAATGACAGGATAGAGAGGCTGGGTTTCCAGAGACTTCCCAGCTGCCATAAAGTTGATTCTTGTGTGATATACAGCTGTGCAACAACAACAAAAAATTAGTTGGTTGTGGCACACATTTTCAATTCCTATACTCATGCGCCGGAGGCAGGCAGATCTCTTAAAGTTTCAGGCCAGTCTATTCTACTTAGAATGTTCTAGGCCAGCCAGGATTACAGTAAGACTCCATTTCAAAACCAAACACACACACTCCCCCAAAACCTTAGAAAAGCTGCTTCTCAGAATGCTTTTCTTAGAATGTGAGAGGGCACGGCTGGATTTTCGCACTGAGGTGTCCATCTATACCACTGGAAATGGCCTTCAGAGACCCCAACAGTACAGGGTCCTGGGCTATGAAGCATGCCACGTGCTTGTTGCTTGTTGGGTTGGGTGTAGCTGGGAAGGTGGGTGCATGGAGGATGGGCCTGCAAAAATCTTCATGTTGGAACTGCATCTGAGACTAGACAACTAAACCTGCTGGGTAGTTCAATAACAGCCCTGTGTCTTACAGAGTAGGCCTGGCACCAGGACGGGGTGTGGCAGCAGGTCTGAGAGTTTTGGGCCCACATTTAGCCAGGGTCTAAAAGGCATCATAGGTGACAAATACAGTAGGGATAGTGAAGTATGTAGACATGGGGGAAGGGACAGCACAGAGGGATTCCACCAGGCACACTTATGCACATAGCTGTGCCTGAGCATGTGCAAACAGGTACACATAGGCAAATGTTATTTTACAACATCTCCCTATATGCAACACACTGAGTTTTTATTATTGTTTTAATGCTAGTTTGCAACATACTAAAATTTTGTGGCCTGTTGTTTTGTGGGAAATAGACAAATCTAGGTTCCTAAACTGAGGGTCA